CTCAGCTCATCACAGAATTTGAATGGCATTACAACACTGGAATGTGCTTAGAAACACCCTTCTGCTTGTTTTTCAAATGGTGGCAAATAGAACAGAAATGACTGCAATGATCAGTACAAAGAAGCAGGAGCAGCCGTCTGGTGCTTTTCCCTACAGAATAAAGAATTGCAGGATATTTGAACAGGACATGGTGACCTCAGAGCATCTCATACAACCAGTTCATTTTGCAGATGTGGAAACAGAAAAGGCAGACACCTTGCCCAAGGCCCCACAGCTAGCTGGCAGAGGTAGGATGAGAAGCCAGGACTCCTGACCTCCTAGCCAAGGGCCTCACAGGCTGTCCATGCTGAATCCCTGCTGCTTCTCCCCACACGGGGGGCTGCAGTCAAACAGAAAAATTTGCACCCTTTGCTCATGCACTTAGGTCTTCGGCTCACCTAACTGGAGAGCTGCAAGGTCAGGACAGAGATGTGGACCAGGTGGGCAGGGATGGAGGAAGACGTTACTCAGGATTCCATGCACTAGCTCTGAGGTTTTCTTGGGTCCAGCTCTTGGTTTTATTTTACTGGCTTCTGTTCTCATGGGTGGGGTGCTTCTCCAAGCAGGGACTGATTGATTTTCTGGTGGTCTTGGAGAATGTGACACTAGTAGCTCTCAACTTCTGTATTTGAAAGTGGGTAAGCCGAGGCCTACCACTCAGATCAATATACTAAACAATTCTGGTGACCAGGAGAAGTGTCACTGTGGGATTGTGCCTCTCTCTGATTGAAGAAGGCCTGTAATATGTACACTCTAAGTCCCAAAGAAAGGAATCAAGTTGGCTGAGAAATAAGACAAGCAGCTTATCAGCTTGACCAGCTAATTATTCTTAATGCCAAAAATAATACACTGCTTCTTACATGATGTGCTTTGCAGAAAAAGAAGAAATATCATCCAGACACAAAATTCTCCTTCATATCTAGGATATGATCTGATCCAGGAACATTTCTCATCCCACTGGCAGATTCGAAAGTCTGACTTTGGTTCTTTAAATGTCTCCCTTCCATACCAGAGTCATAGATAAGATTTGCTCAAAGAGAAGTATCTACAAGGCAAGTCTCTCAGGACACCATAAAATTATGTTGACTGAAGCAGTGGTTGGATTGATTAACTAAGACTCAAGGTTGGGTAATGAGACCCAGGCAGGGCTGAACAATGAAATGCTCTGATTGATTTTACACATGTGGAATGACACGAATATACCCCAGAGCATGCTATAACGAATCTGCATGCTGTGTGCATACAGATCTCACCGTGGATCAATTATACCACCCAGATGCTTCAGTTCCTTATAGCCTGCAATTTGCAAACTAATTCATTACTATGGTGTGAGGGCTTGGGACACAGGCTAAAAGGTGGCAGAGACCATAAAGTCTGTGGTCAGTTCATGTTCCCTTTGGGGAAAGCAACCGTGGGGAGGCGCACATACCAGCCATGCCACAAGGCTCGCTTCAGTGCACGGAGTCTTCTGGACTCTGCCCGACCATTGATTGGGCTGAAATTCCAAAGCCCTGGTTTCAATTAAATTTAAGTGGATTTGACTAAAAGTTTGAAGTGATGCTAATTGGTTTTCAAAACATTGGGCGACAATAAGCGTTTGGTCTCGCCCATGGAAAGATGTACCCAGTTCTGTACACTGGATGGCGGAGCTGGCAACCCATCCCTTACCTTGCCGGGCAGGGATCCAAATTGCAGGATTTCAGGAGCTGTGGGGGCCGGCGGCTGGTCACGCACAGGTTCTCATCAGCAGGCTCCCGGGTCTGTTTATTCAGGCAGCTCACCACAGCCTCCTGGACACCTGTGTACAAATCACACTGTCAGGCCAGAGTGCAGAGTGGGCGTGTGCGGGGGTGATGAAGTGTAGACGAGGCGGCTGGTGGGAGGTCGCTGTGATCGGTAGGACTCTCGCTGCATGTCAGAGACGGCAGTTTAAAGCCCAGGACCAATCCTGTCAAGCATCACTTGATGTGGGAGAAAGCACTCATAAGCTCATGGCGCCTGTAAGCTTGCCCCTTCAGGAAGGCGACTCCCTCAAAAAAGTGAGGCTGCTCTCAGTACTGTTGAAATGCTTACAAAAAAAATGCCATCAAGCTATATAGCCACCAAAGCTGGAACATGATAATGCAGAAGGAGCACAGAGTGACCAAAAAAAAAAAGAGGCGGGGGGGCTCCAAGACCTTCCCACACTATATATTAATCAACAGGAGATTGTTGTATTTGGAAAGGAGGCCCAAGACCATGTTTTAATATCAAACATTTGGTAAACTGCTGTGTTCTTGGGGCCTTGCATCCAGGACTCCAGCCTTTACTGGTTTCCTTATGATTCTGGTTCATTTCTTTAGTGACCTAGGACAGCTTTGGAAGTTGGAACAAAGGAAGGGAATAAGATGCCTAATAACTACAGCCATGGAAAACAATCTCACTGATACCCAGATGCCCTGACTCAACGCTAGCAAAACAGGAGTGTGAGCAGGGACTGACAGAAGGTCACTTGACAGGTCTTCCAGAGTGGTCTGCAGGATCCCTTGTGGAGACTTTCAAGGAGCAGGGAAAAATTTAAATGAGTAATGTAATGACCAGTTATTTCATTCTCGTGCCCACAGTCATAGACTTTCAAGGAGCAGGGAAAAATTTAAATGAGTAATGTAATGACCAGTTATTTCATTCTCATGCCCACAGTCATACTAACAATAGCTAACATCTATAGGGTAGCCGTTATTAGTTAGGTTCCAAGGCTAAGAGTTTGACGTGCATCATTCAGTCCTCTCAGCAACTCCACAAGATAAGCACTATTTTTATCCCCATTTTTCAGATAAGGAAACTGAGGCTTAGAAGGGTGAAAAGACTTGCCTACGGCCATACAATTGGTAAATGGTGAATCTGAGGGTGGCTGTACCCTTCACACTGACAGCATTAACATTTCAAAATACTAAGAGGCTGTCATATCTGCTTCCCTGGAGATCTCAGGAATGACCTAGACATCTGTCTGGAATCATTTCAGCAGAGTTTAGTTTAAGGGAAGAGACGAGACAACATCCTTGACAATTTGCTTTTGTCCATACATAGCTGTATATATAAAGATACCTACATCTAAAGATATCTATCTATAGTCAGATATTTGTATGTAGTTATAGCAGAGCCTGTGACTAGTCATGTAATTAGTTATACACACACATGCACACACACATTTTCTTGTTTCTATTTTCTGCATGGCTTCATCAAATAGTATCTGATACAGTATAATTGATCCATCACTCAGTAGCCCCGTGGCTGCTCTCCTCCTCGGTACCCTACGTTTTTCCAAGAAGTCATCACCCTGTTAACAGGCTAATGCTTCCTAAGTTGAGTTTATACTGACCTAGTCACTTAGCAAGACCATCATTTCAAAAGTGACATTTTAAAGCCAGAATCCAAATTGTCTTTCTTTCTTCCTTACAAGTCTTGTAAAAAATCAAATATTTTTTAAAAAATCAGTCACAATATCTACCCTGTAACCATAATGAGGCTATGTTTTACATTTTCTTTTTTTTTCCAAATTTTTTTTATGAGATTCAAACTTGAATTTCAATATATCATGCCAGTTCCGGGTGGAACAATTGGGATTTACACCAGACATTCAAATTCCTACACCACATTCTGTCATGCTGACTGCAGGGTGTTCTCTTGGTTGCAGCTGGGATGATCCATTTGGAATTCATGCTATGACGATAGAGCAAAACACTTCACAAGAAACTGTTGATGTCATCACTGATACTTCCCACTGGACTAGTCTGGCACTATTAGGGTAATTGTGACAGGCCACTGGATGCAGCCTACTATTGCATTACAGAATCTAGAGCTGTGGTTACATTAGAAATTTGTTTGCCTAGTTAGTAGTATTAAAGAAATTTTAGGGCCGGCCCGGTGGTGCACTGCTACAGTGCGCCGCTTGGGAAGTGCAGCGGCGCTCCCAC